CCCCCGAACGCTGCACCATTGCACCAACCCCCCACTAGTGATGACGTACCATTACAATGTATCGCTTGTTGGTGGCCATGTTTGCGTGTTTGCTTGTCGTTAATGGTCTCTCCACCGTGTGCCTTTTTCTGTCACTTATGTCTTGTAGTTTTCGGTTTGTCCTCGCTCTAAAATTTCATTTTCTCCTTCCTTGCTGTTTCCTTTTATTTTCTTCTCTCTCTTGTTCTCTTATTCTCTCTTTTTCTGTGCCAGATGGCCTTGTTTCTGCTTGCGTTGTGAAGTACCAAGATTAAACCACGGGGGTGTACCTCATTCTCTCCGGCCCGTGATGGTGACAAGGGGTCTCAGTTGTTACCTCGCATAGCGCGCAGAGGGGTTGGAGGACTCCAGAATATCTGTCGTTGATTTCTATTGACTTGCGGACCCCTCGGGGCCATTTAATAGATGTACCTTTTTAGGGAAAGTTAGCCTGCGACCACGGGAATCGACCGCGTCGAGTGTTGTGTCAGTACGGACATACGAAGGTACTGGGTAGAGAGAGATCGGAACGGTTAATGTGAAGACAACAACAACAACAACAACAACAACAACAACAACTAGCTAGACGACCCAACTGGGGCCACCCCCTCCTGCGGTTCCTGCCTGAGGTATTTTTATCGCGAGAAGGGTGTAGCAATCCCTTCCCTCGCGACTTACGAAGTCGATTATGGTTTACTAACAACGAGCTTTGCAACGCGTCGCTTTCATCCTAGACCAAGATTTATTTAGTGAGAACAAAAACTCACTCTGCCGGGACCCGAACCCATGACCTGGCCCGTAGAAGGCTGCGAGGTTTCCCACTAGACCACCGGGGCGACCGGTATCGTGTTTGTGTGTGCCGCCGCCAAAATCGTTGAAATAGTTGCGCCGCAAGGCCTAGTAAATTGCCTGGAGCCAGAACAGATGAGGCACCCTTCACCTGTGATGTTTGTCGAGGAAAACTGTTACAACGTAGTCAGGCACAGTTTACCATAGGTGCGACTGCGGCAACTCGCAGCCTTCCGTAGACATAATACAGAAAGAAGAGATGGTACTCAGCAGAGAACATGAGCACAGAGTTGTAGCGGAGATAATTTGGCAGGCGAGACTGTGGTTGTTTTATTGTTCCGAACCCCGAAATTCCGGTACTCGGGCCATTACTCCGGAGACCCTCGGAACCTGCT